GCTAGTCTAGAAAGAGTTCCTAGCTGTAAAGTTTGGGTATGGATCTGGAGCCAGTTTAGACCTTCTCCAGAGTTGGAGTGGTTTCAATCCAAAGGGGTTGGTGGTAGCATTCATACAAACAGGACTTAGTCATGACAGTCATGCTACATCTACATCGCAGGCTTCTTGCGCAAGAACTGTTTTATGCAAGAGTTCTTGTGCAAAAGTTCTTCCACAAGAGCGCATCCACACTGCCATGTGCTTTTGCACAAGAGCGTCCATGGCAGTGTGGACGCTGTCTTGCGCAAGAAAGCTCTGATGGCCTTGCGCAAGAAATTCACGTTGCCTGTCTACACTGCCTCCTTGTGGAAGAGCTCTTGCGCAAGAGGGCTTATTCCTCGTGGGGAGAGGAATAACTCTTCCAGAAGAAGCCCTGTTTTCCGACGCTGTTCTGTAAATTTACTTACACAAGAACGCACGTGCAGTGTAGACACCCGGCAAGTTTTTGCGCAAGAACAGTTGTTCTTGCGCAAAAAGCCTGCCGTGTAGACATAGCCTCAGAGTGTGTGGATTTACGGCCCTTCTCCACTATATAATACAGGGGTGGAGAAACTAAGGCACAGCTTGCCTGGATCTGGCCCCTGAGGCTGGAGCCCATGCTGCTGAGGGTTTTTTTGCTTTGTTTTGTTTTTGTTTCTCACTTGTGTGAAGCCTGTGACCGATTTTTCTGTGGGTCAGTGGCCCCTGACCCAAAAAAGGTTCCTCACCCTGATGTCAATAGAATAGAAAATGTCACGTAGAACATAGCCACACGGAGCAGCTTATAAACCAGGGGTGGGCAATAATTTTTGCCTGGGGTCCACTTCAAAAATTTTGAAGTAGCCCAAGGCCACCCGGAAGGGGTGGGGCCTAAACAGGAAGAGGTAGGGCCTAAATGGGAGGGGGTGGGGGAGCCCCTTTGGCCCCCCCTTCGCACTACGCACCCATGCTCTGGAGGCTTGGCATGCTCTGCCACCCCCAGACCAATCAATTTGAAGTGTCATGGGCTCCTCACAGGGCTGGGGCCGGGCAAAGGAAGTTTCACGCAGCTCCCCCACTCCCTGGCCCTGATTGGCCTGAGGGAGTGCCCGAAGCCTTCTCTGCTCTCCCCCCTGCCCTGCAAGTAGAACAGTCGCTTCAAAGTGCCACGTGCTCCTGGCAGGGCGGCAGGAGGCTTTGGGCATTCCCCCGACCCCAGGCCCTAATTGGCCTGGGGGCAGGGAAGCAGCAGGGCTTCCGTGGGTTGGATCCACCCGCTTGGTGGGCCGCATCTGGCCCATGGAGGCCCTTTTGCCCACCCCTGTTATAAACACAAATACATCACAAAAACATTTGGCCTTTCTACAGAAACATGGACATTCCGTGTTTGGCTTTATCCTTTTACAATGACAGGCCTGGCAGGAGTGGTGGTGGATTTGAGCCAGTATTTCAGTTCTGACCCAACTCAAGGTGCTGTCCTCACACCAACAGGCCTGGTGTGAAAGAGAATACCATCACTGCCACCATTCCACTAACGGCACCAATATGCCTCAACTACTTCGGAGCTTGCCCCATCTGACGGTTTGATGCCCTCTCTTCTTTCAACTGATTGATTGCTGCCTCTTTATTTCCAAATGCTTTCCTTTGTACTATTTCCTATGTTCCCGGATATACTTTGTTGATTGACTTTCATCTATGCGATCTGACTAATGGATTACATTGTGCTGATTCACAGACTGCCCCACTGAATTGAATTTGTCACTTTCTTTCTCCAGATCCTTTTATGGGGTCCTCCTCAGTTTCCACACCACATTTGTACTATTAAATGATAACTGTATATAATAAAAAGCTCTTGAGTTTTACATTCAAGGCCCTAGTTCCTATTTATTAGTGCCTTATTAATTATTATTATTATTGTTATTGTTATTTGTACTAGAGTAGTGCCCCAGTCACGGATAAGAGGCCTGTGGGCAAAAGCGGCCTGGTGATTATAAATGGCCCACAAAAGCTCATCGCGTATTAAACCATCTTGTTAGTCTTTAAAGTGCTACATAGTTTTTCCTTTTGTTTTTGTAAGATGGATATGTGATAGGTTGGATCACAGAAATCCACTTGGGGTTGTCACCCAGGGTGCTGATCAAGCCACTGATGCTCTCTTTCCTGCCCTCTGGGGCTTCCCATTACCCTGTCCTGCTGGGTCAGAAATTCTAGTCTCCTCTAGCCAAGGCACAAAGTTTGAGTTATTACTCCCCAGCAGAGAAACATAGACACTGAACCAGCTCAGCTAGGAAGACTCAAGTTATAAGGCTTTTGAGAAAACCCAGGAAATCAACTCCCTAAAGGGACCAAACCCCAAAATAAATCTGTCTTACCCTGTCTAAAAGTTTTACACAGAGAAAGTTCATCAAGATGTTTGCCTCCTTTATCAATGAAGGAGAGCTATACACAGCAGTTGCTGCCCCACAGGTAACATTTATTTGCACTCAGCTTGATAATAAACAAGTGTTTTTATTAACTATAAAAAGTAGGACTTAAGTGATTGCAAGTGAAAACAGATCAAAGTATGTTACCAAGCAAAAAATAAACAAAAGATTGCCATCTAATTCTAATATACTAAAATGTATTACATGCAAATTCTTACCCTAAACAGGGAAGAGTTGATTTTTTCTGACCAGCAGCTTTGCCTTCACCCTTTCATTAGAGTTCTTTTGATTCCAAGTTGCTTCATATATATCTGCTTTGGATGGGGAGGCAATTTCAAAAGCCTGCTGAAGACAAGACCGCTCTATTCCTTAAAAATGTGTGTGGGAACCCTTTTTTCTATATCCCCATCCCCATGGAAAAATGGATTCCAGTAACAGGTGGCATAGTCACATGTCTTCCTAGGACAAACCACACAGTTTAGGTTTACAGGAAAAATAAAACCATTCAAGATTCATTGGTTTGAGTACTGAGCCATTAAGTTCCTAAAAAAATCACTAATGGCACTCATTAACACATTTATAATTAAAAATGGATTTAAACTTCCTATTTTATCTTCACATATAAGAATGATATATACATATTCATATTCATATACATAAGCCATTTTCATAAAGCATGGGGGGCATGATAGGATATAGTAATAGTAGGGCTGTCAAGTGATTAAAATAATCATAATTACTTGAGTGATTAAAAATGAATAGCGGTAATTCACAATGTTAAATGATAATGAAATATCATTTATTTTAAATATTTTGGATGTTTTCTACATTTTAAAAGATATTGATTTCAATACAACACAGAATACAAAATGTACAACACTCCCTTTATATTTGCACTCTAAAAAATTACTTTTCAGTTTATTTCATACAATTATGGTAGTGCAGTCTCTCAATATATAGATATTGCTCCAGCATAGTGCATGGATAAATGACAACAAAAGTTACAGAGCATTGGGGAACCAGGTATTTTGTGTTCAACTCTGGCCCAATGACCATTCATTGTCATCCTAAGGACTACGACTTGCCACTCTGAATGACAATGAGTAGTCACCAGGCCCGAGAAAGACAGGAAGAATTACACTAGTTCGGTTTTTTTCAAAGTGGTCAGCGGACCCACCCCGAGAAAGCTGCTAAGTGGGCCGCTCTGGTTTATTTATCGTCTCCGCAGCCACGGAGCCTCGTGGCTCCCATTGGCTGTGGTTCACTGTTTGCAGCCAAGCAGAGCCGCAAGAAACACTGTGAGCCAGGCCGCTGCTTCCCACAGCTCCCCTTGGCTGCAAACGGTGAACCACAGGTCAATGGGAGCCGTGAGGATCTGTGGCTGAGGTGCTGGTAAGCAAACAAACTGGAGTGTCCCATAAGTAGCTCTCTCAGAGTGGGTTCACTGACCACTTTGAGAAACACTGCTCTAATTACAGCGACGAGGAGTCCTGTCGCACCTTATAGACTAACAGATTTATTGGAGCATAACCTTTCGTGGGCAAAGACCCACTTCGTCAGATGCACGTAGTGGAAATTCCAGAGGCAGGGATACATATGCAGGCATAAGAAAAGAGTTCCAATCAAGAGTAAGGCTAGAGGTAATGAGGTCAGTTCAGTCAGGGAGGATGTGGCCCACTTGTAGCAGTTGATGTGGAGGTGTGAACACCAAAAGAGGAGAAACTGCTTTTGTAGTTGGCTAGCCATTCACAGGCTTTGTTTAATCCTAAACTGATGGTGTTAAATTTGCAGATGAACTGTAGTTCAGCAGTTTCTCTTTGAAGTCTGGTCTTGAAGTTTTTTGTTGCAGGATGGCTATCTTTAAATCTGCTACTGTGTGTCCAGGGAGATTGACATGTTCTCCTACAGGTTTTTGTATATTACCATTCCTGATATCTGATTTGTGTCCATTTATTCTTTTACATAGGGACTGTCCTGTTTGGCCGATGTATATAGCAGGGGGCAAATTGCTGGCACATGATTTTGCAGATTCAGACTAATGTGGCTACCCCTCTGATACTGCTCTAATTAGTATATGCATGTGGAAGACCTACATGAATCCCTGTTCCAATGACTATATAGTTATTTTTAAAAACTAGAATAGCTTCAAAAGCAGAGATGGAAACAGAGCCTTGCCAGAGTCTCCCATAGTTCAGTGGTTAGGGCAAATCCCCGAAATGCTGTAGATGCCAGTTCAAATCACTTCTCCGTGTGTGAGAAGGGGGGAATTGAACGTGAGTTTTCTACACTTCAAGTGAACACCCCAGCCGAAACCTTCAAGAGGCATAGCAACTACACTATCTCTTCCTGTTTTGTAAATCTGCTTCTCCTTTGCTTTTGTCAAAATGAAACATTAGGTATTTTGACATCACTGTACCACAAGGTTTCAATGCTTTTAGTTTGGTTGAGACTATTCAATGAACTCAACATGAATTCACAAAGCGTTGGTCAAGCTGAAACTGCATTTGTTGATGAAAAAACTATTCATCCAAAAATTTTTGCTC